CTCAGAGTGTGAATGGCCCTACCCAATCTACCTTTACTGACTGACCCCTCTTCTCTACCCCAAATACAAAACTTAATAGTAGGGGAGGAATGTCATTCCCCCTATTCGAACCGGAAGAAGTTACAGGAATTATGGATGCTTTGTCCCTCTGCAACCCTTAGGTAATAAAGGAGTTTCTATAAAATGGGAGAGGGAAATGTTCAACCACATCCCGATGCTTGAATAGCGGGGCTGGGTAGGAATGGAAGGCTGAGACCTACTGGCTGCATTCCAAGATAGTTTAGCATTCTAATCACAGATGAGATAGGGATGGTCAGGCAAAAGATACAGGCGTTCCATAAACACTTCAGGGTTGATAAAACAGGTTGCCACGTACAAGACCGGGCCAAGCCGGGTTGCGGTGGCTCAAGCCTGTAATCCCAGCACTTTGGGGAGGGCCGAGAACGGTGGACGTGATCACAGAGCGGTCAGGGCAGATCGAGACCATCCTGGCTAACACGGGTGTAACCCGTCGTCTGTACTAAAAATACAGAAAAAGCTTAGCGGACGGGTTGGCGGGCGGCCTACTGGCGCCCAGCCTACCTCGAGGCTGAGGCAGGGAGAATGGCGTGAACCCGGAGGCCGGAGGCTTGCAGGTGACGGCCTGAGATCCGTCATTGCACTCCAGCCTGGGGGCGACAGAGCGGCGAGCACCTCCGTTCTCAAACCAAAAAAAAAAAAAAAAAAAAAAAAAAAGAACGCCGGCCAAAACCCACCAAAACCAAGATGGCAATGAGAGTGACCTCTGGCTCATCTCACTGCCTACACTCCCACCAGTGCCATGACAGTTTACAAATGCCATGGCAACATCAGGAAGTTACCCTATAAGGTCTAAAAGGGGGAGGCATGTATAATCCATCCCTTGTTTAGCATATAATCAAGAAATAACCACAAAAGGGGCAACCAGTAGCCCTCAGGGCTGCTCTGCTTGTGGAGTAGCCATTCTTTCATTCCTTTACTTTCCTAATAAACTTGCTTTCACTTTTTAAAAAGAGAGAGAAAAAAAAGCTGTCATTCTTATACTTTAACTTTGTATACATAAGATTTATCTCTGCATCTTTCAGGAGAATCAACACACTTTCCCTCCAGTACAGTATCCCCATCCTCCCCAAATAAAACCATTTCTATGCACATGCCACCAGCATTAACATGGCACATTTCCAATCAACGCATATGATGGTGGCACAACCACCTGCAAAGACCACAAGTACTCCAAACTACCTTCCAAAATGCATGAAAGTTAGCAATTAGGGTAGACTGAATCATTACAGAAAAAGTACAATGGTCCTGTCCTAACTGGTGTGCATGGGCCCTGGTACTCACTCAGCTTTGCATAGCTTCTGCCAAGCTTCGTGAAATTTCACAGGGTCCTCGGTTTCAGTGATCTTCTCCAGATCAATGGAGTCTATGTACTAAAAAACATACAACAGATAAAAGGAGTATTTAAGAAAAATAAACACTCAAAAATACTACAGCCATCCAATACTATGACACATTATTCAATAATTACTTATTATGCAAACACTGTACTGGGCACTAGGGATAGAAAACATAGTCTCTGTTTTGTGGCTCTTATCATCTTTCAGAAAGATTACAAAACCAGATAAATGGGCATCCACACTATACTATGATAATGGCTATGACAGACAAAGAGAACGATGCAGAAGTAACTAGGGGTTAACTGTGTGGGGTGGCACGTGCCTGTAGCCCCAGCTACTTGGGAAGCTGAGGCGGAAGGATCCTTTGAGCCTGGGAGGTCCAGGCTGCAATGATCCCCGATCGTGACACTGCATTCCAGCCTGAGTGACAGAGTGAGACCCTGTCTCAAAAAAAAAAAAAAAAAAAGCAACTGGGAGATCACTAGAACTGGACACTGGAGGAAAGACAGGAAGGATCGACATCAAGGAAGAGCTCTGGGGAGGTAATGTTCAAGAAGCCAGCCGAGAGGAGAGCAGAAGCAAGATAAGCATATGTGTGATGGGACACAGCAGGGAAGGCGTGCAGGAGACAAACAGAGGGGAGGAGAAGGGTATGAAATCTCCAGCAGGCCAGGTGCATTGGCTTACGCCTGTAATCCCAGCACTTTGGGAGGCTGAGGCGGGCAGATCATCTGAAGTTAGGAATTCAAGACCAGCCTGGCCAACATGGCAAAATCCCGTCTCCACTAAAAACATAAAAATTACCTAGGCGTGGTGGTGGGTGCCTGTAATCTCAGATACTCGGGAGGCTGAAGCAGGAGAATCACATGAACCCAGGAGGCAGAGGTTGCAGTGAGCTTAGATTGTGTCACTGCACTCAAGCCTGGGCAACAGAGCGAGACTCCATCTCAAAAAATAAAAAGAAATCTCCAGCAAAGGAGCCACTTATATGAAACCTCAGAGGAAAAAGACAGAAAGTGGTAGCTACTCTGGGACCCTCAAAAAAGGCCCCACCCAGCGAGAGGACAGACCTGATTAGTTGGAGGAAGGCAAGGGACGAGGCTGAGAAGCCATGACACAGAGTTGACACTTGAAGGCACTTGCAATGGTTTGAATGTCTGTGATCCCCCAAAATTCCTGTGTTGAAATCCCAACTCCCAAAGAAATGGTATTAGGAGGTGGGTGGGGTCTTTGAGAGATGATTAGGTCAAGAGGGCAGAGCACATAGGAATAGGATTAGTACCTCTATAAAAGAGGCCCCAAAGACCTCCCTCACCCGTTCTGCCACATGGGGATATAACCAGAGGTTGGCCCTCTGCACCCAGAAGAGGGCCCTCACCAGAGCCCGGTCACATGCTGGCACCCTAATCTTGGACTTTCAGCCTCTAGAATTGTGAGAGAGAAATGGCAGTTGTTTGTAAGCCACCTGATCTATGGTACTTTGTTACAGCAGCCTGAACAGACTGAGACACCACTGAAAGATCTTAAGTAAAGGGATGACAGGAACAAAGAGAACCGAGAAAGATTTTGCAAAGATCACTCTGGTAGAGTGTGGCAAAGACAGGGAAGACTGGCAGCTGGAAACCAGCCTGGAAGCCGCTGCAGCTGCAGCAAACCAGGAGAGAGAGACAGATGCAGCTCAACCTTAGAAGGAAGATGACAAGGCAACAATTCAAATAGTACTTAGGAGAAGCTAATGTCAATGAATCCTATCAGATGAAGCATCATGTGCACCAATTCCTATGTATATAACAGCCCCTCTCTATCTATATTAGTTTAGTATTTCTTCTGTAAAAATGACTATCTGGCCAAGCGCAGTGGCTCACGTCTATAATCCCAGCACTTTGGGAGGCCAAGGCAGGTGGATCACTTAAGGCCAGGAGTTCAAGACCAGCCTGGCCAACATGGCGAAACCCTGTCTCTACTGAAAATACAAAAATTAGGTGTGGTGGCGGGCACCTGTAATCCCAGCTACTCGGGAGGCTAAGGCACAAGAATTGCTTGAACCCAGGAGGCGGAGGTTGCAGTGAGCCAAAATCGCACCACTGCACTCCAACCTGGGAAACAGGGCGAGATCCTGTCTCAGAAAAGAAAAAAGAAAAGAAAAGAAAAAAAGACTATCCAAATAAACTTTAAGATACAAATTTTTAAAGGCTTTATAAAATGTATATGTCATGGCAATTTTTCTATTGTTGTTTTCTTTTTTTATATAACGGGGCAGGCAACTTGGAGGAGTGGGAGGAATGGGAAGTAAACTATTCCTTAGAAAGCCAAAAATAAAAAGTGATTAGGGGCCGGGCATGGTGGCTCATGTCTGTAATCCTAGCACTTTAGGAGGCCAAGGCAGGAGGAATTGTTTGAGGAGTTCAAGACCAGCCTGGGCAACATAGCGAGACCCCATCTCTACAAAAATTAAAAAATAGGCCAGGCATGATGGCTCACGCCTGTAATCCCAACACTTTGGGAGGCCAAGGCAGGTGGATCACCTGAGGTCGGGAGTTCCAGACCAGCCTAGCCAACATGAAGAAACCCTGTCTCTACTAAAAATACAAAAATTAGCCGGGCGTGGTGGCGCACACCTGTAATCCCAGCTACTCGGGTGGCTGAGGCAGGAGAATCACTTGAACCCAGGAGGCAGAGGTTGCGGTGAGCCGAGATTGTGCCACCGCACTCCAGCCTGGCACAAAGCAAAACTCCGTCTTAAAAATAATTAATAATAAACAAAAAATAATTAAATAAAGAAAATTTTTTTGTTTTGCTTTTGTTTTTGTGAGAACGGGAGTCTCGCTCATGGCGCCCAGGCTGGAGTGCAGTGCCGGATCTCAGCTCACGGGCAAGCCCGCTTCCCGGGTTCAACGCCACCCTGCCCAGCCTCCCTTGGAAGTAGCTGGGACACAAGTGGCGCCGCCACCGCGCCCGGCTAGTGTTTTGTATTTTTTTAGTAGAGACGGGGTTTCACCGTGTTAGCCAGGATGGTCTCGATCTCCTGACCTCGTGATCCGCCCTTCTCGGCCTCCCAAAGTGCTGGGATTACAGGCTTGAGCCACCGCGCCCGGCCTAAAATAAAAAATTTTTAAACTGATTAGGAAAGGAGGCTAAAAAGAAGAGAGAGAAACAGCAGCTAGGTCTCCTAAGCTGGTGTCAAAGTGGAAGTCATTAAATTTCTTTAACATATAAATGGATCTTTTTACTCATCATACAAAGTTTTTGCCATTTAAGTCAAGATGATAAGGCTTGCTTACACAATGATATACTCATATTGAATATAATTAAATATAAATGTGAGATAGATATATAAACATACGTATCCAACTGGTAACAAGTGGGATATCAGGGAGGAGGAATCTGCTTTCTGCATTTTAGACTTATGCTTTATTTTGTTTTGCTTTGTTTTTTGGAGACAGGGTCTCAATCTGTCACCCAGGCTGGAGCGCAGTGGTGCAATTATAGCTCACTGCAGTATCAAACTCCTGGGCTCAAGCAATCTTCCTGCCTCAGCCTCCCAATTAGCTGAGACTACAGGTGCATGCCATCACACCTGGCTAACTTTCAAGATTTTATAGAGATGAGGTCTCCTATTGTTGCCCAGGCTGGTCTTCAACTCCTGGGCTCAAGCAACCCACCTGGCTCAGCCTCTCGAAGGGCTGGGATTACAGGTGTGAACTACTTCACCTGGCTTATGCTTTGTTTAAATGTTTTACTCTAAACATGTACTACTTCCGTTCTTATATGGAAGAATATACTCAAGCTATATAAGATAACTACACCTCTGTTATTCCACAATACTGAGTTTCCAAAACAAATAATCACTGTTTGCTAGCTATCATTCTTCCAAGTTAGAGAGGGGAATATAGTATTTTTAAAATCTAGATTCTATTCCAATGCTAAAGGAAAAAAATATCCTATTATTTTCTTGTTAGCCAATTACGATGTACTTGAAGGAGCATGACAAGCATGCTCATTCATCTGAATGTGCAAAGCCTAATTTCAGAAATGTGCCTTAAACCTACATGTAGAAAACAGTTTACACAGCCCAAGCGCAGTGGCTCATGCCAGTAATCCCAGCACTTTGAGAGGCCAAGACGGGCAGATCACCTGAGATCAGGAGATCGAGACCAGCTGGCCAACGTGGTGAAACCCCGTCTCTATTAAAAATACAAAAATCAGCTGGGCATGGTGGTGGAGGCCTGTAATCCCAGATACTCAGGAGGCTGAGGCACAAGAATTGCTTGAACAGTGAAGACAGAGGTTGCAGTGGGCCGAGATCGTGCCACTGCACTCCAGCCTGGGCGGCAGAGGGAGACTCTGTCTCAAAAAAGGAAAAAAGAAAACCGTTTACACAGCAAGCCTAGCTGCTGCCCTTGGAAAGGCTTGCTACAAGATTGAGCCTTGACTGGCTTCTGGAAACTCTGACTTTGGGAGGGTTCCCATCATTCCAAGAACTGATAGGAGAAGCTCACTGCGCTGAAAGTGTCTGTACAGACAACATAGTTTCTGCTGCATGCTTTCCTTCTGGGAGGCTGGTATTTTGGGAAGTGTTAAGCAAAGGGTGCGTATGTGACCAGCCCCCAGTAAAAACCTTGGGCTTCAAGTCTTCAACGAGCTTCCTTAGTAGATGGCAGTTTGCATGTATTACCACAACTCACTGGACTCTACCAGGGGAGGGCGCTTAGAAGCTTGCGCCTCATTACCCCCAGACTTCACCCTGCACGACTTTTCCCTGGCTGATTTTGCTTTGCATTGTCTGGCTATAATAAATCTTAGCTATGAGTATAACTATATGCTGAGTCCTGTGAGTTCTTCTGGTGAATCATAGGTCCTGGAGGTGATCTCAGGGACCCTTTAACAAAACTTGCCCCTCTGGAACATGTGCTATTGGCATGAATTACTGAGATAGCCAAAAGACCAGGCCAGGACTCACCATCAGATTCAACTTGTGGTTGATGGCCAGGGCTGAGTGTTCCAGGGCTTTGAACACAGAGGCGTAGCAGTCTCTGAGCTTGGTGTATTTGCCAACCAGGGCTATGGAGCATATTTTCTGTAACCTTTCATACCTGGGAAAGAAAACAAACTCAAAGGTTATATGCACGTAACAGAACATCACAGACAGAACAATGGCAGCTGCTGCTCTTATTCCAAGGCACTTTTTAAAACCTTAGGAGCAGCTGTAGTCCCAGCTACTCAAGAGGCTGAAGCGAGAGAATCACTTAAGCCCAAGAGTTTGAGACCAGGCTGGGCAACATAGTTAGACCCCATCTCTACAAAAAATACAAAAATTAGCCAGGCGTGGCGGGGCATGCCTATAGTCCCAGCTACTCAGGAGGCTGAGGTTGGAGGATCACTTGAGCCCAGGAGGTCAAGGCTGCAGTGAGCTATGATCACACCACTGCACTCCAGCCTGGGCGACACAGTGAGACACTGTCTCAAAAAACAAAAAAGAAATCCCAACGTTGGCTTACATAAGCAGGTACAGATAAAAGTTCAAGTATATCAGAGAAAAAGTTAAAAGCATTAAAAGTAAAAATTGAAAAGCTATCCCAATCTCATAAATACGAGCTGTTCTTACATTGGTTAATAAGGTGACATTGTATAAGAAAATGCATTCTGCGTGTCAATAGAAAACATTCCAATATTAACTTTGTAAGGTGACATTGTGTAAGAAAATGCATTCGAAGTGTCTACATTTAAAATGGTTACATTCCCAGCTGACTCACAAAAGTCTGGTTATTCATGGCATGCCTGAAGAATGGTGCTAAGAGAACGATTTAAAATATTACTAGCCATTTAGATCATTTTTATGAGAAAAATTCCATTCTACAGAAGACACTCAATCACATTTTACCATTAGAGACACAATTTTTAGTGTTGCTTTTGTCAGGAATCTGTTCAAAGAACATGAAAAATATCTGGTCTGGTATTAGGTACGTGGAAATGTCATCTTGGGGCTGAAGATGTTTTAGGGCTTTGAAGCAAACCCTTCCCCAAACACCTTAGAAAAATGTTACCATGATGACGAATATCCCTCTTCAATATCAACATCTGCAAAGAGTGGCCGGGCACGGTGGCCCACACCTGTAATCCCAGCACTCTGAGAGGCCGAGGCAGGTGGATCACCTAAGGTCAGGAGTTCGAGACCAGCCTGGCCAATATGGTGAAACCCCATCTCTACTAAAAATACAAAAATACAAAAATTAGCTGGGCATGGTGGTACTCACCTGTAATCCCAGCTACTCAGGAGGCTGAGGCAGGAGAATTGCTTGAACCCGGGAGGCGGAGGTTGCAGTGAGCCGAGATCATGCCACTGCCCTCCAGCCTGGGCCACAGAGCGAGACTCTATCTCCAAAACACACACACACACACACACACACACACACACACATCTGTAAAGAGTACGAGAGAAACTTGATCACAAACAGGCTGTGTGCAGGAAAAATGCACAAGAAGCTAAGAAGTCAAAACTGACAGGGAAGGTAACTTTCTAGAAAGGTGACTAAAATAGCTGAGACAAGACTGCTAACCCTTGAACTCGCTACTTCATTTTATGTTGTTCTGGAGGTTCCATAGCTGTCTGTACCTCACACCACCTCTCCATACAGTATGCAGGTAACAGGCCGTGTGTGGTGGCTCACGCCTGTAATCCCAACACTTTGGGAGGCCAAGGCGGGTGGATCACTTGAGATCAGGAGTTCCAGACCAGTCTGGCCAACATGGTGAAACTCTGTCTCTACTAAAAATACAAAAATTAGCCTGGCATGGTGGTGCATGCCTCCAGCTACTCAGGAGACTGAGGAAGGAGAATCACTTGAACCCAGGAGGCGGAGGTTGCAGTGAGCTGAGATACGCCACTGCACTCCAGCCTGGGCAACAGAGCCAGACTTTGTCTCCAAAAAAAAAACAGGATGCAGGTAACAGAAAGCAGGATGACAGCACATCAAGTAGCAGAGATGATGTCAGAGGCAGGCAGGCACAGCCACATTTGAGCATAGCAGATCTGGCTTCACCCTCTTCTCCCTCCTCCATAGACGGAAGAGACAACATCAGCTGTGCCTCCGGAAGGAAGCAGCACTGGGGTCAGTATCACAGGTTCCGCCTTCGACTCACTCATGGCTGGTCTTCCCAGGGGAGGGGTCACTGGGCAGCAGGTGGTACAGGTGAGTCCACTGGGTCACACCTACCAGGGAGCTCTCATTCCCCCTTGGACCTATACTTCCGAGAGCAACCAAGTGTCTCCCTCATGTGCCCCACTCAGCCATCAGCCATCACCGAATGTGAGGCAGGCATCTGATACTACTTCAAGCTGCTGTGGGAGGGGGAGGGGAGTCCTCTTTGCAGGGCCGCCCCCAACAGTCGGGTCTCAAGAGAGATGAAGAGGGCTGGGCATGGTGGCTCATGCCTGTAATCCCAGCACTTTGGGAGGCCAAGGCAGGTGGATCACGAGGTCAGGAGATCAACACCATCCTGGCTAACACGGTGAAACTCCGTCTCTACTAAAAAAAATACAAAAAAAAAAAAAAAAAAATTAGCCGGGCATGGTGGCGGGCGCCTGTAGTTCCAGTTATTTGGGAGGCTGAGGCAGGAGAATGGCATGAATCCGGGAGGTGGAGCTTGCAGTGAGCCAAGATCACGCCACTGCACTCCAGCCTGGGCGACACAGCAGAAGGATCACTTGAGCCCCAGAAGTTCGAGGTTGCATTAAGCCCTGGTTGCACCACTGCACTCCAGCCTGGGTGACAGAGTGAGACTCCGTCTCAAAAAAAAAAAAAAAAAAGAAAAAAAAGATAAAAAAAAAAAAAAAACAGAAATAAAAGATGGAGGACAAGATTCGAGTGATGCGGCCACAAGCCAAGGAACACCACTGATTGTTGGCAGCCACCAGAAGCCAGGAGAAGGGGTGTGGCAGAGATTCTCCTGCAGAGTCTCCAGAAGGAACCAACCCTGTGAATGCATTGATTTTGCACTTCTGACCTCCAGGACTGTGAGAGAATAAATTCCTGTGGTGTTTTTTTAAGCTACCCAGTTTGTGGTCATTGTTATGGCAGCCCCCAGGAGGCTAATACAAAGACCAAACATTTTGCTTTAAAAAGCACAGAAGCGCCAGGCACATGGCTCATGCCTGTAATCCCAACACTTTAGGAGGCTGAGGCAGGAAGATCACTTGAGCAAGATGGCAAAACCCCGTCTCTACTAAAAATACAAAAATTAGTTGGGCGTGGTGGAGCGCACCTGTGGTCCCAGCTATTGCGGACGCTGAGGCGGGAGGATCACTTGAGCCCAGGAGGTTCAGGCTGCAGTGAGCCAAGACTGCGCCACCGCACTCCAGCCTGAGCAACAGAGCAACACTCTGTGTCAAAAAAAAAAAAGAAAGAAAGAAAGAAAACGAAAAAAAGCATAAACGCATAGAGTATAATTTAGAGCTATTTCCAATAAAAAGAGTTAAAATATTAAAACTTCTAGTGCCTAAAGTGTATCAGCCCCAAGCTACTTCGAAAATTCCTACGAAATGACTGGCACTTTAAGCACTCTAACAAGGGTTTTAGAGGATCTAAGCTCAGAAACTGCTCTTTCTTCCCGATTCCACTTGCCCCAGAAAGTCTAAAGCATTTTTTAAAATTGTAAATGAAAGGGCAAGAGAACATCAATCTGATTAGTCACCTACCAAGGGTCAGTGATTTTGTGACCATCATTTTAATTATAGTTACCAACATCAGCAACTGATACTCATTATAGTACGTGACTCAACGTTAAGTCTTTACAGGTTTCCTCTCATAATTGCCACTAGGTAGGCACTGGTATCCCTTTATTATATACAGATGGGAAAACAAGCCTAGCGAGGTTAAGTAATCACTCAAACTCACACAGCTGGTAAGAGGAGAAGTCAGGATCTGAATCCAGAACCTACATATGTAACAGCTGCACCTACCGGCTCTGTTGTACGACCTAAGCTGCCCAAGAAGTCCCATCTCAACTACATTTAGTAAAAGAAAACAGGGCCGGGCACGGTGGCTCACACCTGTAATCCTAGCACTTTGGGAGGCCTAGGCAGGCGAATCGCCTGAGGTCAGAAGTTCAAGACCAGCCTGGCAGACAGGGTGAAACCCCTTCTCTACTAAAAATACAAAAAATTAGCTGGGCGTGGTGGCGGGCGCCTGTAATCCCAGCTACTCAGGAGGCTGAGGCAGGAGAATTGCTTGAACCCAGGAAGCAGAGGTTGTAGTGAGCCGAGATTGCGCCACTGCACTCCAGCCTGGGCGACAGAGTAACACTCTGTCTAAAAAAAAAAAAAAGAAAAAGAAAGAAAGAAAGAAAGAAAACAAGTAACAGAGACTTAATTTCCCTTTTTTTTTTTTTTTTTTTTTAAAGATACAGGGTCTCGCTATGTTGCTCAGGCTGGCCTCCAACTCCTGGGCTCAAGTGATCCTCTCACGTCAGCCTCCCGAGTAGCTGAGACTACAAGTAAATGCCACTGCACACAGCTTAATTTTCATATAACTTCAAATTAGAGAAACTTTGCTTAAATTAATATGGTTGTCTGAAAGTTAGAATCCATCAGGAATTTTAATAATTATGCTGAATAGTTAATGAACGCAGGATGAAACAAAAATAGCATAGCCAAAAGTTCCCATTCAAAATGATTTCCTTTAGGAAAAGTTAGCCAAATCTTAAAAACAAGCAAAACAAAACAAAAAACCTGCAACATTTAAAACTGTTTAAGGCCAGGCATGGTGGCTCATGCCTATAATCCCAGCAGTTTGGGAGGCCAAGGTGGGCAGATCACTTGAGCCCAGGAGTTCAAGACCAGTGTGGGTAACACGGAAAAATCCCGTCCCTACAAAAAAGAAAAAAAAAATTAGCCGGGTGTGATGGTGCGTGCCTCTAGTCTCAGCTACTCAGGAGGCTGAAGTGGGAGCATGACTTGAGCCCAGGAGGTGGAGGTTGCAGTGAGCCGAGATCGTGCCACTGCACTCCAGCCTGGGCGACAGAGCGAGACTCTCAAAAAACAAAAAACAAAACAACAACAACAACAAAAAACATTTAAAATACTCAGAAACTAAAAAATGAACTAGTAAATAAATCAAAATCCTTCCAGAGTTAAAAACATTCCTTCCAGAATTCAAATTCCTTTAATTCACTTTGATTTATGTATAACAAAATCAAAGGCTCCAGAAATCTTCAAATAATACAGCAAAGCACCGTAACAGTATGCTCTATCTTTAGACATATCCAGACCAAAATGTGCACATGCAAAATGCCAAATACACATGCTTACCCTTTCAAGTAGGTCTTATTTCTACCCCCAAACTCAAGAATTGTTAAAGATCATACAAGTCATTCCTTTCGCTTACCTGTCAGCCATATTTCTCCACTTAAAAAGCAAATTACTTGCAGAATCACCAATGGGCAGGTGCAATCTCTCCTTAAAATATTTGACAATGCCTTGTTCCTCCAAAAGCACAGGAACTCGGTATGTGGAAGAAACATCATGGATACATATGACCTAAATGATGATGAGAAATCACCTTACTTAGATGGATCTACTCAAATATGCCACCACAAGAATGAGACAAAATTCAGGAGAGACTGGCAGTTTATTTACAGTGATATCACACACACACACACGCATGCGCACACACACACACACATACACACAAAAACCCAGCAACCAAAGCTAGCATCAGAATTTGCACATGGTTAGCTTCATTTAATTAGAAAACTAATCCCAGCACTATGGGAGGCCAAGGCGGGCAGATCACCTGAAGTCAGGAGTTCGAGACCAGCCTGACCAACATGGTGAAACCCCATCTGTATTAAAAACACAAAAATGGTGACATGCGCCTATAATCCCAGCAACTCAAGAGGCTGACGCAGGAGAATCGCTGGAACCCAGGAGGCAGAGGTTGCAGTGAGTCGAGATCGTACCATTGCATACCAGCCTGGGCGACAGAGCAAGACTCCATCTCAAAAAAAAAAAAAAAAAAAGAAGAAGAAGTATACACAAAACGACTGGACAGGTCAGGTGTAGTGGCTCACGCCTGTAATCCCAGCACTTTTAGAGGCCGAGGCAGGTGGATCATCTGAGGTCAGGAGTTCAAGACCAGCCTGGCCAACATGGTGAAACCCCATCTCTACTAAAAATACAAAAATTAGCCAGCCATGGTGGCACACACCTATAATCCCAGCTACTCAGGAGGCTGAGGCAGGAGAATCGCTTGAACCCGGGAAGTGGAGGTTGCACTGAGCCGAGAGTGCACCACTGCATTCCATCCTGGGTGACAATAGCGAAACTCTGTCTCAAAAAAAAAAAGATTGGATGCAAACAAAATGGCATGACAACATACAAATGCAGAAGTGTCCCTTCAATCTGCCATCGCATTTTTCAAAGTAGTTCAGACTTTGGCAATGACTCTGAGGCATCAGGTGGGGGCTCTCCATCAGAGTGCTTTCCAAGATGCCAAAATTCAATTTGATCATTTTTAGACTTCAGAGAACCCAGAGTTATAATCTGAAGAAAAGATTTCTGCCAAACCTCACCCTTTTCCTGAATGCCATTTATATCCCTCTCTTTAAACTATAGGCAACTCCAATCCCTTATACCCAAGCCTTATTGGAATCAAGAGACAGAGATCAGAGAAGGAAAGAAAAAAGAAAAGCGAATTATCAGAATACTGAGATGGAAAGCCCTGCAGAGCAGAGAACCTAAGCTCAAATCACAGTAGGGTTTCTGTACCAATGAAGTCAACTGAGCCCACTGGTGGAGTCAGAAGAGCTAGTGTGAATGTCAACGTGCTCGTGTGTTTGGGGTGACTGAAGCTGCCACAGGTAGAGAGGAGAAATGAGTGAAAGCAGTAAGTGTCCCAGTAGGAAAGACAAGATAAAGAGATGATAAGTAGGCTTCATGTGGTTCTCTCTCTAGAGGTTTGACTGTGAGTTAAATGCCCACTCTGGTAGGCTGGGCACGGTGGCTCACGCCTGTAATCCTAGCACTATGGGAGGCCGAGGCGGGTGGATCATCTGAGGTCAGGAGTTCGAGACCAGCCTGGCCAACATGGCAAAACCTCACCTCTACTAAAAATACAAAAAAAAAAAAAAATTATCCAGGCATGGTGGCAGGCACCTGTAATTTCAGCTGCTCAGGAGGCTAAAATAAGAGAATTGCTTGAACCTGGGAGGCAGAGGTTGCAGTGAGCTGAGATTGTGCCACTGCATTCCAGCCTCACTCTGTCTCAAGAAAAGAAATAAAGCCCACCCTGGTTTTGTGACATAAGTTGAGTGATCATGCAAAGAAACATGCCTCCTACCTCACTTAAGGGCTAGGGAGTCATGATTGGATCAGGGTGCCCGGCGCTTGCATAAATGCCGTGAAAAGTAATATGATCATTGAAGAGGCACAAAACACTGGCATCAGCAGAAGTGCCTGCCAGACAATAAAATCTAAAGAGCAGCACCAACCTGTTCAGGGTTCACGTGACAAAACATAGAAATCTTCTCCTTCACGGCCATCTCGATGGGCGTTGAACTTCGGCAGACAATCTGTCAAAGCCAGTTATGCGTCAGCAAACAGGATTCGTTTTCAGCAGGATGCCACATTCATTTCTTTTTACAAGAAACTTGGCCAAGTATATACTTGTTCACTTTGGACATTCCACTGGACTATTAGAAATTGGTCTGAGCACTAAAATAAGTATAATCAAATTCAGCACAAGTGTATCAGTAAGAACTCGAAACATCGAGACGTGTCTGGTGAAAAGAGTCCAGGCTCGTAAGTGTTGCTTCATTAACTACAAGAAAAGAGCTAGATCGAGGTTAACAAACTTTTTCTCAAAAGGGCCAGATGGGAAATATTTTGGGTTTGCAGGTCACACAGTCACTGTCCTGATCCTCAATCGTGGTGCAGTGTGAAAACAGCTACAGACAATATGTAAATGAATGGGTGTGACTGCATGATAATACAACTTTATTTACAAAAACAGGCACGCAAGTTGTGGACTGTTATTTGTCAACCTCTGACAGAGACTACTGGTGATGACTGGATCACCTGCTATAAGGACACATCACTGTTTAGACTAAAAATAAGAGCAATGGGCTGGGCGTGGTGCAATCCCAGCACTTTAGGAGGCCAAGCCAGGAGGATTGGTTGAACCCAGGAGTTCGAGACCTGCCTGGGTAACATAGCAAAACCCTGTCTCTACAAACACACACACACACACACCACACACAAAAATTAGTGCGCTGTGGTAGTGTACACTGCTAGTATCAGCTACTCAAGAGGCTGAGGTGGGAGAATCGCTTCAGCCCAGGAGGCAGAGGTTGCAGTAAGCCAAGATCGCAACACTGCACTCCAGCCTGGGCAACAGAGCCAGACCCTGCCTCAAAAAGAAAAAAAGAGCAGTGAAAACCCATCACAGGGTTATCACTGATAGCAGGGTTACAGGAAAATCCCAAGATTTCACCTTCATTCTAAAGAATCCAGGAATCATATAAATGATAGGACATCACACTTGCCCAACTATCAATGTGGCCCATCAAATGAGAGCCTAGGGAAGAATGGATTGAAGCAACACTTGAGGCTAAGGGAATAAGCCTTTTCCAGCTCCCAGACAGAAAAACCTCATTGTCATAGGAGCTGTTTGAGAATGAGAAAGGACTTAGATGATGATAAAGATAAAGAAGTGAAGGGCAGCCAGGCATGGTGGCTCTTGGCTGTAATCCCAAGCACTTTGGGAGGCCGAGGCGGGCAGATCACCTGAGGTCAGGGGTTCGAGACCAGCCTAGCCAACATGACAAAACTCCGTCTCTACTAAAAATACCAGGTGTGGTGGCATGTGCCTGTAATCCAAATACTCTGGAGGCTGAGACAGGAGAATAGCTTGAACCCGGGAGGCAGAGGTTGCAATGAGCCAAGACTGCACCACTGCACTCCAGCCTGGGTGACAGAGCAAGACTCCGTCTCAAACAAACAAACAAAAAAGAAGTGAAGGGCCTGCTCCCAGAGACCTTTGGGATAGACTTACCCACTGTCCTCAACTCACCAAATCTGGAGACAGGCCTAACCCCCTCAGCGCGCGGACACTGTTTTGGGTGGGCTTGGTTTTTTGTTCTCCGGTAGCACTGAGCTGAAAAAAAATGGGGTCCCGTCAGCACACTGGACACTAGCTCCTATTGATGATTAACGGTGCCCCTCGTTCAAATGCAGGCCACATAGAATATCACAGGAAAACTTATCAAAGTTGCTGTCCACATACTTATCTGGAAAGCCCACCTGTGGGACAAGGCTAACATGGATATTACAGAAATTCTCTCTTTTCGCCTTAAACTGGAATTGTCTAAACGCTTCCACAAACGGCATTCCTTCGATGTCTCCAATGGTGCCTCCCAGCTGGGAATGGAAAAGAAACAAAAAAAGACACAAATGACCACACATCTCCCACAGTACACAAGCCAATAAAAAGAGTTCTTAATAAACCGAGCATGAGAACTAAAGTTTGATGGTTACACAGAGGTTTATAAATACATTCAAAATCACTAAATTGTGGCTGGGTGTGTCAGCTCACGCCTGTGATCCCAGTGCTTTCGTAGCCAAGGGAGGAGCATCACTTGAGCCCAGGAGGTCAAGGCTGCAGTGAGTCGTGATCATGCCACCGCACTCCAGCCTAGCTGACAGAACAAGACCCTGTCTCTGAAAAAATATAAAAATAAAAAATAAAACTTCATAAAAGATTTCTCCACGTGTATACTCTTCAGTAGCCCACTGCTTCATTAAAACTAACAACAAGGCCAGGTGCGGTGGCTCACGCTTGTTATCCCAGCACTTTGGGAGGCCGAGGCGGGCGGATCACAGGTCAGGAGATCGAGACCTTCCTGGCTAACACGGTGAAACCCCTTCTCTAATAAAAGTACAAAAATTAGCTGGACGTGGTGGTGCACACCCAAGTAGTCCCAGTTACTCGGGAGGCTGAGGCAGGAGAATCGCTTGAACCCGGGAGGCACAGGTTGCAGTGAGTCGAGATCATGCCATTGCACTCCAGCCTAGACGACAGAGCAAGACTCCGTCTCAAAAAAAAAAAAACAAACAACTAACATCAAATCTCCTTAATGCAGCCAACAAAAGGCTCTCAGGACCTGGCCCTTGCATTGAGTCTCCAGTGCCATCCGGTCCCCTCCCCACTGGCCTCTTGGGTACTCCATGCTCTTCCTTCCTGCCCCTCAAGGCCTCCTACCCTCCTTCTTCATCTACAGCAACCTCTTTTTATCCTCCAGTCCAAGAGAGATGCATCCTCCCTGGAGGGCGGACTCTGACCCCACCCCCCTACCTACAGCAGCCTACATCCCACTAGCCCTTGTCACAGCACTGTACGCATCCTAGGAACTCAGCACAAGTTGCCTCTATTTCATTTCCATCTTTGTTTCCTGGCTCTCTACCCCACTAGACTGTAAGCCCCATGAGGGCATGAGCCCAGTACCCTGCAGGCAGCACTGGAGGTTTACTTTAGTAGTCAGGACAGGACAGAAAGGTCCTGAAATTCAATATAAGCCCTAAGTAACGGTGTTCTAGCACCTGTTACCAAAATTACAACAGAACCAAAGCCAGGGCTGGGTGCAGTGGCTCACGCCTGTAACCCCAACACTTTGGGAGGCAGACATATCACTTGAGCCCAGGAGTTTGAGACCAGCATGGGCAACAAAGTGAGACCTCGCCTCCACAAAAACATAAAAAATTAGCTGGGCATGGTGGCACGGCACCCATGGTCCCAGACACTCAGGAGGCTGAGGTGGGAGGATTGCTTGAGCCTGGAGAAGTCCAGGCTACGGTGAGTCATGATCATGCCACTGCACTCCAGCCTAGGGGACAGAGTGAGACACTGTCTTTTTAAAAAACAACAACAACAACTCAACGAAATGAAAACATCACATGCAATCAGGAACTTGGCAGGAGTGAAGAAGCGAGTGTAAGTACCCACTAAATACAAGGCACCAAAATCTAATTTTTAAAAATCATTTATTTTCTCTAAGGAAAAACAGAGGTCTGCGCTTAAACTAAACCGTATGCTTCCGTCCTGTGTTTTGATGGGGATTCTCTGGGCGGGGGTCAATAATAGTGAATGCGAAAAGGAGGCCAACTTTAAACATTATCCGCTTCTGCCCTCACGTGGTCAACAGTGGTACTACAGTCTCTCTGCTAATTCAGAAGTTCCCATTACCATACCTCTAGGTCACCATCATTATTGTGTTCAGAAACTTTCAATACAACTATTGGAAAAGTTTGAAGTTAACTGTTGCCCCAAATAAAAGGGAAAATATCACCCATAACAATACTTTATGCTGAAATGGAAGCAGCAGCAAATTTATGAGATGTGCAAAGTTGTTTTTGCTTGTCTTTAATGAAAGGAGTCTTTTTCTTTCTTTCTTTTTTTTTTAGAGACAGTGTCTCGCTCTGCCACCCAGGCTGGAGTGCAGTAGTGAGATCATGGCTCACTGCAGCCTCAAACTCCTGGGTATAAGTGATCCTCTTGCCTCAGCCTCCCAAGTAGCTGGGACTACAGACCTGCACCACCACACCTGGCTGAGTCTTCTTTTTTGGAAAATAAACAAGAAGAGAGAAAGAAACATGTTATTCCTTTAAGACAAGCATCAATTATTTCAGGTTCATGCCAAGATAACTCGTACTAATATAAATAAAACCTGTCAGCTCCACTGGTCTGAGAAGTTGAGGTCTCACTCATAAAATGGCTTTGAAGACATTTCAACAGCTCCTCTATGATTAAAACTGAAAATCAGCTTTGGCAGTCCTTCTTCAAAACCTTAAATGGTGCACAGACACAGCTGTTGAACACAATTTACAATGAACCAAAGAAGATGTTGACCACTAGTATCCAATAATCAAATATAAACATCAGGGTTATAATGGAGAAGGGGTTCTGTTTGTCAGTTTCCCTGTTTCCATAAAATTTAAAATCCAGCCAATGAGGTCCTGGAGAGCAGGAGTCAGATCACACTCAGCCTCACATCCCTAGCAGCTATCATCAGGGCTCAGGGCCCAGTACATATAAGTGCTAAATTAATCATTGTGAAGGCAAACAAGTCAATCCAAAGGTAGAAATAAGAAAATAAAATTAGAAAATTTGCCAGGTTGGCCAGGCACGGCTGGCTACGCCCGTAATCCCAGGACTTTGGGAGGCCGAGGCGGTGGATCACCTGAAGGTCGGGAGTTCATGACCAGCTGAACCACATGGAGAAACCCCGTCTCTACTAAAAACACAATAATTAGCCAGGCATGGTGGCGCATGCCTGTAAATCCCAGCTACTCGGGAGGCTGAGGCAGGAGAATCGCTTGAACCAGGCAGGCGAGGTGAGGTGAGCCCAGAATCACGCCATTGCACTCCAACCTGGGCAAAAAGAGCAAAACTCGTCTCAAAAAAAAAAAAATTTGCCAGGCAATGGTGGTGGTACACCTGATCCA